TTCCTTCTCAGTAGAAAAATCTTCCTTTGGTGATAAAATTATATATTAAAACAAAAAAGAAAGAAGTTAGATTGTCTCTCTACCTCTTCTCCTTTTGCTACTTAATTTCTACAAATCTCTGATTATCCAGGACCACACAATGTCTTGCTTAGAAACCAGGAAGAAAGTAATGACCTGCAAGAATCCTGTGCATTTTTTAAAAATTTCGTTGAAGAATGTTCCAGTTTTCAAGCTCGTGCCTGTAATCCTAGCTACTCAGGAGGCTGAGATCTGAGGATCACGGTTCAAAGCCAGCCTGGGCAGGAAAGTTGGTGAGACTCTTATCTCCAATAAACCACCAGAAAACCGGAAGTGGCACTGTGGCTCAATTGGTAGAGTGTTAGCCTTGAGCTGAAGAGCACAGGGACAGCGCCAGGCCTAGAGGTCAAGCCCCATGACTGACCAAAAAAAAAAAAAAGAATGTTCCAGTTTTAATGTAGTACCAGTACCATGGGCGGGCCCAACAGACCTCTGTGTATATGGCCAAGACTTGATCTATGCCATGGACGTTAAGACAAGTGCTGCTGACAACGAATTTTTATTTGCTATTCATGGGAACTTATATAGAAACCTTTCTGGAAATTCTAGAAAAAGTAGTAGGCATATAATGATTTCTAAGGTGTAGCAGGAATTTCAGAAAACATATTAAAATATACAAAAGATCCTTGGAAAATTCACAGGTAAGGAATTTAGAAAGTAAGAGCTAAGAAAAACTCAGAGATAAATTGGAAAAAGGGTGCCTCTGTGTTTTTCAAGGAAAATGACTTTTAAGCATGAGTTTGTGACTATCTAGCTAAATGCTTCCCTGTGTTACATTGTTGTCAAACAGTGTGTGAAAGCACTACCTTCAATACATTTCTTACTTGTTTTCTCTTTTTGGGTGTAGAGTTTATTCATCATCAATATGATGATATATTCTATTTTAAGTATGGTATTTTCTTTTTTTAGTAAGTTTTTTATTGTGAAAATACTGTGCAGAGGGGTAACAATAACATGAGCAAGGTAATGAGTACATTTCTTATCAAGCATTGTTGCCTCCTCCTTTGTTTCCCCTACCCTCCTCTCCCCCCAACCCCCATCTCCTCACCCCGCCTAAATAGGAAAGTTTGTTTTTCAACATAACATCTTGTACATCTCATTGCTGCAATGGGTCAACCTGTATCCCTATTTAAATACTTTGTTTTTTCCCTTCCCCTCCCCAAATTATACCGACATCAAATACAGTGAAAACAGGGGTTATACCATGAGGGAGGGACATAGAAAGCAACAAAAAATTCGCATGGTACCTTATAAATACGTTAGAAACAATAGCAAGAAAGAAAAAACACTTGTGTTCTTATTTTGGGGTTCATTTCACTTAACATCATCTTATTTTCATTATAGTGCCTTCTATTGGATTAAGACAGAAAACCAGAGCCCCTTCCTTTGACAAAATATTTCTGTGGCCCTGAAGGCAAGAGTTTCTTCATGCCTAACAATCACCGGGCTGGAAAAAATACAGAAGAGTCATCACATCCATTCCCTGTCTCAAAGCAGGACTATGTCAGCTCTAGTTCAGATGGATGAGTATGTTTTGTTTCAGTGTTCAGTAAAGAGACTAACATACTCCTTAATCATGTATTGTAGGATTTAGGATATTGGGATTGTGGCCCAAAGTTCTTCCTTTTATGAAACCCCATTTTACTCTCTGCTATGGTTTAACTCATTTGTTTCCTTTTAGTTTTAATAGAAAGAAAGAATAACTGGTTCAATTCTGGTTCAATATGGCAAGTACATAATTTTCTAAACAAAGAAGAGTAATAATATGCAAAACTAGAAAGATAAATGAATGAAATTTTAAACTAACAAATATTAAAAGTGGTATTTTGTGAAGTAAAATATATGAGTGAATACAGTAATAAACTGGGGCCCAAGCTATATGGTCCAATGGTAGCTGGGACTACATTCAGGTAAGTTGGATTTGACCCCTCCCTCTCCTCCCTTCCCATTCCTTCCTGGCTACTATGATGTGAGCATCTTCCTCTGCCACACACTCTCACTATGATGTGCTGTGTCACCTTAGGCCTAAAGGCAACAGAAATCTCTGAAACCAGGAGCCAAAAGAAATCTTTCCTCCTTTAGATTTATTTTCTCAGTATATATTGCCATGATGACTAAAAGCTAAATAACACACCTGGGGACTAGAGTCATATTCCTCACATAGAAATGGTACCAACAGCTCTGCACACGCAATACTGTTTCTAAGCTGTAGCTTAAGTCCTAGTTCAAGGTCATTATCACAGACTAGTATTGTACAAGAGAACAGAAACAGAGAATAAAGCATGAGTAATCGAAGCTTAGGTACTGATAAATGACGTAGAGTAATTGTGTTCCAAGGCCTAAAATGATCAACCATTACAGAAGGAACAGAAGACTCATGCAAAACACAATCTCAATGGATAATGTGCTTTTAAAATAAAACCTAGAAAATCAAGAAAAATTCAAAACTAAAACTGCTGTTAAGAAAAAAGATCAGAATTTATATTAGAAAAATATAGATATGTGAACAATCTAATGTGTGTTTTAAATAACATTGAACATTTCAAAGAAACAAAGAGACTAAGATCCTAAGAAATGATAACAGATTACAAGATAGCAACATGCAGACTTTTAAAATTGCAAAGTTGGGAGAAAATATAGTATTGAAGATAAAACAGACAAAACCCAACACGTGTCCTAAATAGTATACATGAAAAGAATTTGTGACTTGAAGGATAGAGATGAAGTAATATCATTATGGTATATATGCCACAAGGATAGAGATGAAGTAATATCATTATGGTATATATGCCACAAATGAAAAACTAAGGAAAAATTAAGAGACCTATAGAATAAATTAAATGAGATACAAAAACATACATCAAAGACAATTCTGCCAGGGAGAAAAAAGATAGACGAGGAAAAGGTAATTTTCAGAAAAATGACTAAAAATTGAAGAGATATTTAAGTCCTTTTACTGAAAACATCATGCTAAGCAGGCTGCAGAAACATAAATCACCCATCTGCACATCTCATTGTGGTCATCAAAGAAGAAAGAGAAAATCTTAAAAGCTAAAAAGAGAAAACAAAAGGACTTAGAAAAGAACTATGATCAAACAGCAGACTTTCTTATCCACATACAAAAGCCACCAAACCATTTGGTAATATCTTCAAAGTCTTGAAGGAAAATGAAGATGCACCTATAATTTTATAACCAGCCAAATTGTCTCCAAGAATTAGGGCAAATTCAAATTATTTTGTGTATAAAGATTCAAGAACTTTAGCATTATTACTCACAGAGAGCACTTGAATAGTTAACAAGAAGAAAAATGGCCCAACAAATAAACAAGCTGCAAGAACAAGAAAGAAAAGAAAAAATAAACGCTTCTATATTCAATAAAATAAACTTTTAAAGTTTTAAACACTATGGTACTTATTCCTTTCAATTTTATCTGTGATTTATGATCCCAATTGTCCAACACTTTTTCCTTTAAAATAATTGTAAGCCTATAATTTCCACTTTTTCCCCTCAATACTGCCTTTTATCAGCCGCTTTCTAAGCAGTTGGGATACTCGAGAGCCACACTGCCTTCTGTGTATGAGATGTGCCTCAACCTCCTTCCCATGGAAGAACAATCTTTACCTAGTGGTTAGATAAATTCCTATTACATTAAAACATTTCTGGAGACTTCTGGGAAAGATAGATTTTATGAAGTGATTTAACAGGTTACCTGGCAGCTTAAAAATTTCTTTGCAGTTGTCATTTTACCACAAATACAGCCCTATTTACACGAGCTCCTCACATGTCATGCCTTTGTAATTCAATTTAAATAGAAGTAAATAACATGTGCAAACCCAGTAAGCCTCAGAATTTATTACAAAAACAATTTTCAGATTGTTTCAGATATGCCCACATCTCTCAGTTACTGAAGCATATTCTATCATCACCAGGGATCAGAATAACCCATTGGTGATATGGTATGACCTTTTGTCATCTGCAAAAGAATTGCTTGCCTTTCTTTGATGGTATTTATTGATACACAAATGTGTTCCTTATAAAGAAAGACAAGAAAAGCTATTGATCTTTAAAAGCATTTACTTCTGTTCATAGGTATGCAAAAAATGTTATTAATTTCAGGGGGTTATCTGACTTCCTAAATCCCACCCAGGAACCCTTAACTGAAGAACTCTGTCAGAGAAAAATAGAATCATCCTATAGGATGACAAGACTTCTAGTTTGCAGATCCCAACAAGGTCACATAGGTTTCTCTAGGACTTGGGTTGGGCTGACAGGCATTCTCTGAAGCATTCCATGTCTCCATGCCTTTGCTGTGGGAACCAGGCTTCACTTGGAGGGAACAAAATGTCATTGAGAGAACCTCTGCCTCAGAAAATTACCCTAACCACAAATTGTGAAAGGTAACATCCTAGCAGCCATGTGAAAATGTTTCTGCCTGGCTCCCCCCAGAGTTACTCTTAACGTAATAACTGTGCAGTCTGAAGCAGTCCACTATTCAGCTGGCAGGCAGCTTTATACTGTCATAAACCTCTCTGGGTCAGTTCATTTGATTTATGCACAGCTCCTCATCATTTCAAAGCTATGCTTGAATGCAATTTCAGCACTAATTGCATAGGACACGTGCCACAATGGTACAACTCCCCTGGTGCCTCTTGCTGTCCATGGCAAGAAGAGGCTGTTTATGGCCACAAGTCCCCAGTCCACAATTGACCTCCCCTGTTAAATGATTAAAGGCCCAGTGAAAATTTGTTGCTAGTTACCAAGTAACTTATTACTGTCTATGTATGCCCCACTTGGGCTATAAACTATATTGATGGGCCAATTTGGGCTGCCTAAAACTGTCTTATAGTTATTGCTGTATGGAAGTTTCCCTTTTGAGGAGTTAGGATGGGTTGGGTGAAGAGAAAAATGAGAACTCATTTACCTGGGCAGCGAGGGCAGCACAGCTGAGGTATATGCACAGGAGAGAGGCAATGAAGATTTGGACATCTGATTCGGCTGCAAAGCACATTCCCATTCTGAAAGAGCAAAGACACCAAGTAAACAGAAATGTCTTTCAAAGGTCACTGGGATCATGCCAGTTTGGGAGTCATTCAGGGGCTCACCCAAGAAACTGAATACAACAAGCACTTTTTCATTTCCCATCACCAGCATCACTGCTAGATGGATTGAAAGCTTATTGGCATGTTATTCTATGGCTGGGATCATGGCTGTTCTACTTTCAAAGCCTTACATTAATTGTGGGAGGCTTACTCTGGCATGTCTCTGTGGCATTGCTACCCTTCCCCTGTTCTCACTTCATGTCTTTTCCAAGATCCTACTCTGATTTTGTAATCATCTGCTTGATGCCATGGAAGGCAAGAGATAATGAATAATGGGTCCCCTGAGCTGCTACCCACCCCTGTGCAAGAAGGCATCACTAGCACAAGAATCCTGGATTCTATATAACTCTGCCTTGGTCCAGTAGACTGAGTGACTCTTCTCCTCATTTCCCATTTCAGCCAACATTTTTTTCTGCTGAGAACAAGTTAAAAGTTGAGAATTGAGCTGATCAGCTACTATTCTAGGATGGGGCAACTAGGTTCCTACTTGATTCTTGGTTAGATGATGCCTAGCTCTGACAGCTCCTAGCCATTGTTAGAACAAAGTATGATTTTGGAAATACAATTTATATTTACATTTCTCATCCTTAATTCCTTTGAAGCAAAGGCTACTTGTATCTGTCAGCCTCTTATGGGGGAAGAGGGTGATGAAACACATGGAGAAAGAAAAGATGCTTAGTGTGTGAGCTGTTGGTGTTGAAATCATATTAACATTTACACTGCCATTCAGACATCAAAGCTCAGCCTCCAAGAGTTGGCTGTCTATCTCCAATGTGTCAGGTAAGAATTTGACAAAATAATGCCATAATTAATAAGCTAATCAGTTCCCAGATGCTGCATGTGATTTGTACTGTAGCTGTTTAAAGAGGTAGGCTTCTTTTTTTCCAAATCAGAATTATCTTACCACATTCTCTTTCCTTTTCTAGTTTGCTTTCTAGAATAAATTTTTGGTGTGCAGCATTTGGAAATACCACAGAGGCTCCTTTTATATCACAGTGCTTAGAGCCAGTAAGTATCATCTGGAAATGGAGTAATTGAAGATTATCAGAAATCAAACTACCCCTGTCTGACTGCTAAAATGAATCTCAAATGCTGTGTACTAAATCCATTATAGAGTTAAGAGATAATAGTTATGATAACCATAGTGCTACTGATAGAGATGGCAACAATAATAGCAGTTAATTTTTTTCAATGTTTACCATGACCAAGCTTGTTTTCAGTGACTTAGATTAGTGAATTTAATCTTTACCACAATTCTATGAAACAGGTGATATCGTCATCATTTTTTTTTGCTGGTCGTGGGGCTTGAACTCTGGGCCTGGGCACTGTCCCATCAACTCTTCAGTTCAGGGTAGTGCTCTACCACTTGAGCCACAGAACCACTTCTGGCTTTTTCTGTGTATGTGGTGCTGAGAAATCAAACCCACGGCCTCATGCATGCAGGCAAGCATGCTACCACTGAACCACCTTCCTAGCCCCATCATCATCTTATTTTAAAGCAGATGAAGGAATTTTCAGAGGTCAAGTAACATGCCTGCCTAACATAACATGGCTCATAGGTGGTAAACCCAAATTAGGAAACTTGTTTCCTCTTAATTCTAGAACCCACAGACTTTTAATACCTTCTGACATTAATTGAAAATTAGGTTTCTGCATATTCAAAATTCTAAACACTCAAAATTCAGTTCAAGTGGCAAAATATCCACCCTTGTAAATGATAGTTCATTTTATAGTTGAGCATGATGTAAGATTTGCAGTCCTGGCACAAGTCTCCAGTAGCAGGCTGGTCTTTCTGTGCTCAGAATGCTTAATTCTTATGTCCAGTACAAAGCTACCCTTCCCAATTGTCTTAATGCAATAGTTCTCCATCAAAGGTAATTTTTCATTCCTGAGAACTCAACTATGTCTGAAGACATTTTGGGTTGTCACATCTGGATATTTTTGCTACTATGATCTAGTGGATAGAGACAAGGAGTGCTGTTAAATATCTTACAATACATAGGACAGAGACCTCATCACAAAAATTCTGTCTGCAAATGTCAATAGTACAGAAGTGGAGAGACCCTAGCCTAACACGATCATAGGCACTTATTCAGAAATATAAACTTCAGCTATGGTCTAGGACAAGGCCATGAAAAGAAGATAGAACTACCTACTTTATAAGAAAGATGATATTTAAACTGTTCAAAAGCCTCTGAGTGACTGGATATAAGCCAATATCAAGCCAAGACAACTGTAATCATTAACAAGGTAAAGGCCAAGCTTTCAGAACCTTAGTCTTAATTAAAGTTATTGGCCAAGACAACATAAAATACATTCTCCCAATGACCCAGTATATAATCTCTCCTAATCTCCTGTGTAAAGACCAGGCTTAAAAATATTTTCCACAAATCTTAAAATCTAGGCACTTTTTCCAATTATCAGGTTCTTCCTTCTTCCAACATATCTTATGTCATTAGCCTAAATGATCACAGGTATCTATCTGCCCATAGCAAATGCTCGAAGATCCCATGAAAACAAAACCAAAGAGGAATAGAAGAAACAAGACAGATATTTGCTTTTCCTCAAAACTTATGTCTTAATTCCTTTTATGCTTTTATGCTAGCTATGTGAACATCAAAAGCCACTCTGCATGCTGAGAAACAAACATGAGAAATTGTACCTCTGAGCAGATGCAGCCCACACAGTAAACCAACCCATATGGTTCCAGGTAAGGATGCCATTTCTCGCCCACTCTATACTTCTTGTCTTGAAACATACAGTATGTCTCTGAATCTGCAAGGAAGGAAATAAATAACATGTCTGTTAGAAAATTTGGGCCAACACAAAATCCAAATGCATTCACAGAATCCATCCACTTTAGTACCATGGTGAGTAATTATAGAACCATTACTACTGGCTCAGTGTTTTACATAATTTCTTTTCTGGATTCTCACAATGATCCATAAATACTGTTAGTCTTATTTATACATTGAGGGAAATCAAGAGTTGTATAAACAATAAGTAGCTGAGAGTGAAACCCAAATTTTAACTACTGCTTGGTTATAATGGCAAGTGAACATACCATTTGTATTTAATTTGCAAATGTGTTCCCTTTAATTGTAAATTTAAGCTAATATCTGAAATATAGACAGTAGAACTTGTTAGTTCTGGGTATAAGTGTCTTTGTCTGCTTATGTTAACATTATCCAATCAAATATTTGTGTACATACTGTTTCTCAAGCACTATGCTAAGTACTAGGAATAAAATGATGAGCACATTTTTATACATTTCCTGCTTCCATTCAATATACAGATTTCCTCTTTCATGAACAAATCCCAGTTAACTCATTTCATGTATTTCAATAAAAATTTTGGCAGCCTAGCTTTTTTTTTCTTTTATTTATTTATTTATTTATTTGTGAACATACTGTACAGAGGGGTTACAATTACATGGGCAGGATAATGCGTACATTTCTTACCAAGCATTGCAGCCTCCTCCTTTGGTTTACCCTTCACATCCCTTCCCAGCCTCCCCCCCCCCCCCCAATCCCAACCCTTCTCCCCCCCCCTTGCCCCCTCCCGGACCGATGTTGTAAAGCTCGTTTTGGACATGACAACTTATACTTCTCGTTGTTGCATCAGGTCCACCTGAATCCTTAAACAACTGTTTTTTCCCCCTCTCCTCCACAAGTTATACTGACATCAAATATAGTGAAAGCAGGGGTTATACTGTGGGGGAGGGTTTCTGTGCCATTTTAAACTTGAGCACATAGTATGTTATTTGCCTCATTTTACATATCTTCTTTCTTTGATAGGAACCTCAAAAAGTAGACAACTTTTATTCTTTATCCTTTCCCATCACATAATCCAGCATACTCTGGGACAATGAATATAAGCAATTGACAAATTTTCTGGTAAACTGAATTTCTAAATCAAGTGATTATCTTCCAACCTTATCCTCTTCTGTTCCCTCCCTTTTATACAAAGTGAAAACAAACCAATGTTCTTCTTGCAAAAACCATTAATTTTCCTCACTTCACTACACACTTCTCTATTATTAAAATCCAAACAATGAGTTGCAAGTGGCTCATTCCTCTAATTCTAGCTACTGAGGAGCCTGAGATCTGAGGATCAAGGTTCAAAGCCAACCCAGGCAGAATAGCCCATGAGACTCTTATCTCTATAAGCTACTCATAAAAGCTAGAAGTAGAGCTGTTGCTCAAGTGGTAGACTTCTAGCCTTTAGAAAAACAGCTCAAAGACAGTGCTTAGGCCATGAGTTAAAGCCCTGAGACCAGTACAAAAATCAAAAGAATAAAGTAAATACAGGTAATTGAAGAACCGAGATAAGAAATTTTAACAAATAATAAATAAGCTAGTGGTACTGGAACATTTTTTTAATATTTTGAATCAAAGAGCAACGATAACAAATCCAATGGTAAAAGTACCTAAGGACAACTGTGAAATTATGCTTTTACCTCTCTAGAAATAAAATATATCTATACTAAGAAAATGCCTCTCATCATTTATAGATTCTACAAATCTTTCCAAATGCCCCTGATAAAAAATTCCAATTTCATTTTCTTTTTTTAATTTAAATTTCATTGTAAAGGTAATGTACAGAAGGGTTACAGTTATGTAAATTGGGTAATGAGTACATTTCTTTTTGAACAGTATCACCACCTCCCTCATTTTCACCCAGTTTTCCCCTTCCTGACTCCCCAAATTGTATAGTTCATTCTCAACATAGTGTCAAGTGAGTATCACTGCTGATTTGGTTCATCCTTTGTCCCACCATTTCTGTGCTTCCAATTTCTTTTTCAAATCTTTATTTATAACTTTTTGAAAATAAGCTGGGAGACAAAATCTGGATTTGAGTCCTAATTAGCTATAGCTGTGTGACATTAAACAAGTCACTTAAACTCTTTCAATCTCAATTTTAAACATCTGTGAAATTGGATTATGTTTCTGAAGCAGGTGTTGCAGGACTAAATGAAACTCTAAGTTATAAGGTGCTTTAAATGTAGTGATATTTTACATCTACTTTTTTTCTATTATAAAATGACACATACATGTTTAATGTAGAAAATTAGAAAACACATACAAGCACAAAAAATAGCAATTAAAAGTATGTAAACTTGCACATAATCTCAGCATGAGAAATGACCATTTTTAGCATGCTAATAACATATAAATAACCCATGACTAAAGAAATCCAAAGATAAATTAGAAACTATTTCATACCAAATAAAAATGAAGATACAATACATCAGATTGGTGGAATCCAGCTGTTTCTTTCTTTTCAATATTAATTTATTATATTATAGAGGCGATTACAGAGGGATTATAGTTACATGAGTCAGATAATTAGTACATTTCCTTTTGTTCTGTCTTCTGTTCCCTCATTCTCTCCCAATCCCTTCCACTCAATTCCACCCATGAGGTGTATAGTTCACTTTCATCAGTATCCAGTGAGTTCCACTGCTGCACTTTTTCATCCTTTTCCCCATCGAATTCTGTGTACTCCCTCCACCCTCCTGAACACATACACTTGAAGAATGCACATACATAAAGTAAAGAAGACAAAATCATCAAAAACTAAAAAAAAAGAAAGAAAAAGTCTCTTGTTTCTGTATCCTGGAGTTCATTTCAGTATATATATATTATTATATATAAATATGAAGAGGCACTTAAGCATTGCACCTTTGTGTTTCTTTCTTAAGAGCATCTTCTTTTGATCTCACTATGTCTGAGTATTCAGCTAATAATTTTTCAAAGAAATTCATATTTAAGAACTTACAATATAAATGGAAAAAGTTCAAATCAACACTTTAAGAAAACAGGAAAAGCAGATCAAAACCAAAGAAATGATAATAAAGAACAGAAATCAATGACTTGAATTCAAACCCTGGTTTTTTGGGGGAAATTAACAAGGTAGATAATCCTCTAACAAGAATGAAGAGGGTGGACTAAAGAGAACAGAAATTCATTATATAAACACATTCACACACACACACACACACACACACACACACACACACACACACACACAGATAGCATATGAATCCCAAGAAATGGAGTCTTAAATGTGGGAGGAAGCCAGGTGACAGTGGCTCATACCTGTAATCCTAGTTTCTCATGAGGTTGAGAGCTGAGGATCTTGATTTGAAACTAGCTCAGCCAGGAAAGTTCATGAGACTCTTATCTCCAATTAAGCACCCCAAAAATCCAGACATGGAGCTCTGACTCAAGTAGTAGAACACTAGCCTTGAGCAAAAAAGCTCAGGGACAGAGCCCCAAACCTGGGTTCAAGACCCAGGACCAGCACACACACAAAAAATTAGAGATGAAGGATAGGATTAAAGTAATATAACAGAGGAGTATTCCCTTCAAAGTATATTGTTAGCATCTATGAAATTATCATAATCACACCTTTTCTGTTCATGTATGCTAATAAAAATAGGTTTTAAAAACTCTAGTAAGATTAACAAAGCTATAAAAGAGAATAAGCAAATTATAAATACTAATAACAAAAGTGAGAACTTCATTAGTATCCATAGGCATACAAGAATAAAAAGGAATTTTTATGCATATCATTAGATCAGTTAGTTAACTACTGACATGAAAGAGATTATTTTTTCAAAAATACGTCATCAAAAGCAGCTAGAAAAATATATAACTTGAATAGTTTTAGAAAGTGTTCAAGAATTTGAATTTGCTGAAAACTAGCTCACAATAAATAGGCTAGGTAGATTTACTGGTGCATTCTAGCAAAAATTCTACTTCAGTTTTAAGCAGGAAATGCTTCACAATGATAAATTTGATGAAAAAATCATGCTATCTCCAAATTAATCAAATAAGTTACAAGAACAGAAACTGCACAGTATCCCTCATAAACTTGGATGCTATAGCTAAGATATGGAACCAACCTAGATCAAGAAAATGTGGTATGTATACACAATGGAATTCTATGCCTCCATCAGAAAGAATGACATTGCCCCATTTATTAGGAAATGGAAAGACTTGGAAAAAATTATATTGTGAAGTAAGCCAGGTGCAAAGAAACATAGGTCCCATGGTTTCCCTTATTTGCAATAACTAGTATATATCTGGGACAAGCACAAAAGCTGAGATAAGATGATGTTAAGCAAAATAAACCCCAAGCTAGGGACACAGTGGTTTTTCTTCCTTGCTATTGTTTCTAACGTATTTATAAGGTACCATGTGAATTTTTTATTTCTTTGTATGTCCCTCTTCCATGGTATAACCCCTGTTTTCACTGTATTTGATGTTGGCATAATTTGGGGAAGGGAAGGGAAAAAACAAAATGTTTAAATAAGGATACAAGACCCATTGCAGCAATGAGATGTACAAGACGTTATGTCGAAAAATGAACTTTACAGTTTAGGCAAGGTAGGGGGTTGGGTGGGGGGGGTGTAGCTGAGGAGATGGGAGGGACGGGATGGTAGAGGAAAAACAAAGGAGGAGGCAATAATATTGGATAAGAAATGTACTCATTACCTTGCTCATGTAACCCCTCTGTACAGTATTTTCACAATAAAAATACTTATTAAAAAAACTTGGTTGCTAAAATTCTCAACAATATTTTAGTAAATTAAATAGAATGATATATTAAAATAACAATTTATGAGCAAACAAGGTTTGCCTTGGAAATATCAGGGTAATTCAACATTCCCAATTCCATCAGTGCAATGCACCATATTCGGTTTGTAAATCATTCCCACATTGTCACTGAAATAGATGAAGAAAAACCATGTGACAAAATTCTACATT